CTTTTAAAGTGTGTGGTTACCCTACAGCCTGTCCAGCAATTATTATCTTACAGTCTCAGTTATTTGTCAGTTTTACTTTCAACTCAATATAATTTTTTAAGCCTTTAAATTCCAACCAGATTTTTGCATTATGTACAATCTATGAAATATACAGAGCATTCATTCCAGTGTGATAATATCAAACAAAACTTTCTCTGTATTTAAAAGACAGTGAAGTACTTCAGCAAGATCATCACTTTTTATAGCAATGAGACTTCCTCTGAACTGTTTTCTTGGTAGGTTTTAATGTTCCCAAGTTAGGTCTCGATCTTGGTTTAAAGCAGCATATTTTTGTTATAATTAAGGTATTTTAACTTTATTTCAGAAAATATGTCTTTATTCTAATAGATAATTCATGAAGTCCTGTGATAAAAGTTATGAACTAGATAGTTACATGAGGAAAACATTCCTTTCAAGAAAAGGGAGAGGAGAGGTGAAGTAGAAAAGAAGAAACTATTTAGAAATGAATCAGTTGTGAATAAGACAAACTTGTCAGGAACATGCCTTATGCCCTATCTCCCTTCTTCTGTCTTCTTTTAGTTTCAAAGGCCTGCCTTCGAATACACTGAGTATTTTGTGCTGATTCTCCATTCCTGGAGGCATCTAAACTACGGTTTCTGTTAACCTTACAGAGCTGAAACCATAGCCTGCATCCGACTGAATGAACATTGGTGAAATATAATAGTGGAATTCAATCAAACCTGAGTACACTTTAACAGGAGGCAGATGAATGGGAGAGTGTTTAGGATAAGAGTTTTTCAATTAGATCAGTGGAAAATTCATATTTGTTTGAATGGTTTGTAGACTGGGAGATCCTCTGAGCCCTGTTAAGGATTCTTTTGTTATTTTCAGTGGGTTACTCAAGATGGGGATGCTTTACAGAGGTGCAACTTTAAAATAATATGAGAATTTTTCACATAATAATTGATGTCAAATATTCACTTACCTAAATACAATCCACTGTTTATGTGCAACCTTTTATAAAGAAGTCTCATTATTACACATGGTTCACTTTCTGCTTTTTACATGGCTATTTCACATAGCACTTGGAAATATGAATGGATGATTTAATTTCATTTAAATTCTATTTATGTAGGTGACTGTCAACGGAATTATTCTTTCTAGTTGCCCTGTTTCAGTTTGCTAAAAAAAAAAAAAACAAACGTGTGTGGTGCTGTGGCTGCCAGAGCCTGTTCATGGTGACAGATGTTGGAGGTTCATCTGCTGATTTCTCTATTAGAAACAGTAGGCTGATGATACGATCTCGTCACTGGGGATCTATCTTTGTTTTTGTTTGTATGGCTAAGTTTACTAAAGTAGCTTAAAAAGCAGTGTGTGTTTTTAATTTTTAAAATTTTTAAATATTTATTTTCTATTTGCCAGTAACAATCTAATATCTGTGGTCTGTTATTAGGTTCATAGCTTACCATAAAGGACGAGTAATGCTTACTGTATCATTGTCCTTATTGTGGTAAAATGGGTGATTTTGTTTTACCAGCTGTCACTTTTGGTGCAAGCTGAATGACAGGGAACATGTAAAGTCCAAGTGATTAACATATTTCCAGCACTTAACTATACTTGTGTCATTCAGAATTCAGCAGCAGGTCTTGCTTGATAAGCTTGTTCTTGTCTTCGTGTTCTAAGGAACATTGTACTTTTGCATGAGATCTGTTGTACGGACAGAATCTTGAGTCCTTACTGAACCAAAACTCCCTGGAAAATGGCATAACTATCACCACAAAAGGTGCTGAATACGAGGGTAGACCAGCTCCTCACAAGAACAGTACATCTGCCTGAGGAAACAGAACTGGAAGTTCTATGAATAATTTTTAATTGTAAAGCAAAAGGGTAAAGACCAATTATACCTGCTTTTTGAAATAGTGTATCTGCTGCTCCCACTAATATATCTATTTATACAAATTTCCATCATTTATAGTAGAAAATGAGTCTGTGTTGTCCTTTAACTTATTGTATATGTGGCCAAGGTGATCGAAAGGTTGCATGCAAAGTGTTCTGATTTCATATGCAAAGGGTAGAATAAATTATGTCAGCAAATTAACAAGAAGCAGATTTTAGTCTATCTGTGAATGTATTTTGAGTATCACAGAAACATCCTCAATATTGGTAAAATTCGGTGATGTCAGAAATATAAGCTAGTGTCAAAATGGCCTTAGTTTTACCTTTGATGAGCCACAGTGATGAGACAAGTGTTGTGTTTCTCTGCAGTTTGGTATCTGATAACATTGAGTCATTATACTTTTTCTCTTTTAAGTGATAGGAATAGCAGATGTTTTGATGGATTATTAATTTCAAACTGCAGAGGGATTAGTGTGCTCACAAAAAAGGCTTGAATACTTGATATACTTGAAATACTTGAATAGAGGGTTACTCTTGCATACTTAGCCTAAAAGTTGGATTTGAATTGTATGATAGGAGTGCACTTAGGAGGTGCTGTGGAAGTGCTGATATTGTCTGCCATCACTATGAAAGATGCACTGTGGTGTCTTAGATAAATAGACAGTAGGGAAACTTAAATGACTGTCATGCTCCTTCCTGGAAATTATTTCTGGTTACAATGTCAGAATAGGGTAACTCTGTTTTGTACTTTTATTTTGGTAGTGTTTTCCTTCAAAGGGTACCAATATGCTTTACAGATTAGCATTAGGAATTAATTTACTGGACATGTTTGTCAGCCCAATATTTAGTGATTAAGAACAGAGGGGTCTACCAATTCTATGATTTTACACTAGGAGCAACATAGGATCTTCTGTCAACAATACAAAAGCAAAAGCATCAAGCTCAAGAGAACATCTGTAGAGTTACAGAATTCATGATCACATGTATGTGGCCATAACTCACAATTTGGCACAAGACATACTTGTCAGCTTCTGAGATAGTGTTCAGTGAATGCTTAGTAACTTAGTGATTCATTGGACATAACGTATTGTGTGGTTAGAAACATTACTTCCTTCCTTAGTCATTAACCTGCAAATGAGTAAATACATTTCCTGAATGATATCTGCTCAGTTGGTCTGTTCTTCTGTTCTCCCAAACAATTCCGCTTGTTTCCATCATAACATCTGCAAATCATTTAAGTACCTGTGTTGTTTTTTCTTTTTTTGAAAAAGTTCTTTGTGAGACTATGATAGTGTCTCCAAACACTTGTAAGCACCGTTGTTACCACCAGTGGCAAGACTTCAAAAACAGTGTGAATAGGGAAGGCAAAACTACATGCTTTGTGAGCAGTAACTGAGCTTTTGCAAAAGCAAAATATTTTGCAGTGAAATTCAGATATAAATACTGAATAAATATTCAGTAGACAGTATTGGTATCATTCTAAAAAGAAACGCATTGTACTTCTAGGCAATACAATAAAAATTTGTACTTATCAGAATACCAATTATCAGATTTGTGTTCCTGTCAGAGTAGTTTTCCTGCAAAATAAACACTGACAACAGACCTGGTGCTATTCTGGCCAAAAGACCCTTCAAGCTGTTTACAGAGGTCATGCATATGGATTGTGCAAGCTGATAAAAAATTTTCATTATATGGAAAGTTTTACCTTTCTTGTATAGAGTTGATTTTTTTTCATTGCACAAAGGCTGTTCTGAAAATGATTCCCACATGTAAATTTGATAAGGGGTACGCATCTCCAACATTCTGAATTTCTTCACTTCACAAAGAAATTTGTGTTCCTTGAGTCTTCTATAAGAAAGCAGAAAAGTAATAACACACTCATCTCAGAAAACGACAGCCTGCAGTGAAATTAGATGACTGCATTTCTTTTGAATAGAGATAGATGAACAAAAATGATGCTACTATGACAAACCCACCTGGTATCTTCTTTTCTTAAATTGGTTTCTTTGAGAGTAATTGTTAAATGTAACTACTTTGAATCAGTTTTTGAAAAATTCAAGACCTCTAAGCAGGTCAACACTAATTTATGTTGCATTTATGCTGTTTGCCTTTTTGCATTGTGAGATGTTTCCAAGCAGTGTCTTGCTGTCAGATGCGTCCCTCGTATAAAAGAGACAGTTCATGATACAGTCCAGGCTATTAGTGGGTGTTTCTGTTTTTTGAATAGATCATATGTGATCTTTTTGTCACATCGATAACATGTGATCCATGGAACTGAGCCCTCAAATGCAGCAAAAAAGTTAATAAGGATTTATAAAACAAAAGTTTGATTTTTTTAAAGACTTTTAAATAGTCTGTAATACTAAAAGTTAGGTTGCTGAAGAAACCTCTGGGAGGTAATAACACAGTTTGTAATTCATGACCGCTTCTTGCTATCGGCTGGTGCACTGAAATTTAGTCCACTTAAGGTGACCTATTGGCCTTACCCTGTATGTTTATGTAATTTAACTGTAATGGTCAGAAAGGAGTCATATGCCGAGTAACATGGAACCCATCAGAGTTCCAGATAATGCTTGTGGAAGAGACACTGCACTACTGCACTAAATGTCATTTTAAAAATAACATCCATTTTTAATAGCATTTACAGCATGGAGGATTTATCTCCTAAATCATCCAAATTGATGGAAATCTGGATGGAAATCTCACAAAATGTTGACAGCTTGGTATCTCTTATTACAATAACCATTAAAAAACTCATGGTCAGCATCAGTAATCTGGGGTAAAGTGCTTAAGGAGTGTGATGGCTAGGTTAATCTTCTAAGTTGATCCTTACTGAGTCAGGCTGAATTAAAAGTATGCTAAGCATACTATGAGCAGTACTCACTGCCAGCTTCAAAGGTATTGACATAAAAGGAGAAGGACATGAAAAGAGCAAAACTGTCAATGAAAAAGCAGCAGCAAGAAAAAATGAACAGGCATCTGCAGGACATTAAATTTTCCACCTTCTTTTTAGCCCTAGTGGGCACAGTATTATTTTTGTTGAATACATCTGAGAAAATTCTTGTAAACAATAAGATTCTAAATCCCAAAACTTTGTTTTCCAGAAACCCTCCTCCTACTTTGCTGCATCCTGAAAAATGGTGCAGAGGATTCAACCATTTCATTTCACAGTGAGTATTATTTGATTTAAAATTAGCTTATTCAGAAACTCACTGTTTTTCAGATGTTGAAAGCTATTCAGTTGTTCCATCTTCTCATGTAATTTGTTTCACAGCTTCTCTGAACTCCTTAGTTAGCTTGCTTCTTGATTTCTTAATAGAGTTGGAGCATGTTTATAAATATAACTGATAACTGATTTCCTTGATGATTTTGCAGAGGAGTTTTGTGTCAAAGAGAAAAAGGGTTAGTGAAAATTGTTGCTGGTCAGTTTAAAATAAGAATTCAAAAGACAAGAAAGAAAACAGTTGCCTTTTTTTCCACTTTACTAATATTCAGTAATTTGTATACCCAACATGCATATGAACAAAAGTTGTACAAATAGTCTAAAAAGGTAGTGTACAAATGTTGCACAGGCGCTAAAGATTTTCTGGATGTGATATTATTAAACACTGTGAAGTTTCTACTTCCAGATAACTAAATACTTTGAACACTGCTCACCAATACTGACTTTTCAAGATAGATTTGAATATCTGTATATTTCCATTATTAATCTGTTGTGTATCAGTGTATCTATAGTCTCTCGTGGAGTAGTACAATAGTAGTACAATATCTGTACCTAACAACTGTGTCAGTCAGTTTTGTAATAGTATCTTCCCATTTTAGAATAAGTTCAGAATAGAAAGATTAATGTAACTTTTATGAAGAATTTTAAAAAATATTACAGTTTATAATGCTGATGCTTAAATTGGCCAGGAAGGTTAGGCAAGATATAATGTTTAGCCTGCAGTAAGAAGCAGTTTTTATCATTGCTGCAGTGTGACCCAGGATCTCTTCCAGTGTAAGTAGTAGAAGTACATTGCTTTGAAGCAGATTGAATTAAGTTCTGTTTCTCCATTATGCAGGTCCTTTTTTACTCATCAGTGTACACTGCAATCTGTGGTGGAATCAGTGGTTAACTAAGAAAGTCACTGTGTTGTGGATAAATTACATTCTGTTACAGAAAACCATTCTTTTTACAGTATTTATGGACCCTATATTTTGGGGAACTCTGGCCCCAGTGGGTCTTCCTTTTTAGAAGTCTCATCTGAATCTGAGAACAGGATAAAAAATTAGATTTAACATTTGTTCAGTCCTTCAGTTCAACATATGTTGTTTGTAACCTCGTCCTTTCAATTTTCGATATCTTGCAATTGTACATTTGTTTTTAATTACTTTTGCTTAATTACTTCCTCTCACTAGCAAAATCTGCAAGTCTACAGATCTTGCTTTTAATTTTTTTACGCTAACATACAATGAAGTAGGGAAGCATACTCATATGCAATCTCTTAACATGAAGAGATGCAGCAATTGTAATACAAACACAAATCTTTTAGCTGTTATGGATAATTGGCTCACTTATGTGTATTAGTTATATATTTGATGATGCTTGCCTTGTGACAGCTTAGTTTATGATAAATTAAAAGCAATGGCTGTATGAATTCCATACTGCCTTTTATCCATATGTTGGTACCTTGTCTGATGTTTCTGTAACCGCTATGATGAGTGGTTAGCTTTGGAATAATTTCATTATCTACCTCCTTCCGGATGGCTAATGTCATTTGCATAACAAGCTTATCTGGTTCAAGTTGTGGGCCAGACCTTGTACTGGCAAAAAAACAAGCATTCATCTGTTCCTAAGCATATTTCTGACTTCAGTTCTATTGACACAATAATTTTATCTATGCCAAGATTGCCAAACCTGGTCGTTGTAACGTTCCCCACCCTCACCCCTTCCCCCCTTTGTCACTTCTTGAAATGCCAGAATGTTCTTCACTGTCTGTGAAACTGGTTGTTTTTTTTTTTTAATTGCGAAGATACAACTTCAGCCAAGTCATATTTGACAGATAAATTTGTATGTGGTATCTACTGAGATACACACAGCATATTACATAGGTTTAAACATGTCAGTAAAGTTCTGAGTATGCTTATTTATCTGTACTAATGTAATAGTCCATGAAGAGCTTGGCTGGTCCACTTATAATGTGAGAAAGAATTATCTGTTTATTTTTAAAGACTTTTCAATAGAGATCACTATTTCTATAAGGCTGAATAAATAACCATATCAATTATTGGAGGATTGGCTCCTACAAGTGGTAGACTTCTACCTATGTTCATTTCTGTGCTCAAAGAAAATACTGCTTTTGAAGAGTACGTTCTGTCTATAAATGTTTGAAAAGTTAATTTTTTGATAGCAACAGCGTACACATTACTATTCTCTCAAGATTAAAATGTTTACCACCATTTCAGACATAAAGTGGTTCAGAATTCATTCATTAAATAATATAGACTTCACGATAAAATTAATTTTTCAAAAGTCACTAAAATTAGCCTGATTGCCACAAATAATATTCTTGGCAGTTTAAATCTTGACTGATCTCTAGGGGTAGATAGAAGAGTTAATATAGTATTGAAGCAGGAGGATACAATAACCTTTATTTACATTACATCACAAAATGGTATCTTAATTAAAATGAGCATTGGTGTCTCCAGAGACAGACATTCTTCTTTTAAATTTATTTAACCAATGATGAGCTATTATGGTTCTTTGAATTAGTATTTCATGAAGTGGAAGGACTTCAAGAATTAAGGAATTCAGGAAGTAGTAAAGTCACAATGTGAAATAACAGGATTTATGGTCATCATTTACCATCAGAAAGTAAAGTTTATTTCAGCAGTGGTATTGTAAATACAATACAAATTTAATTTTCAGTCTCAATATTCTTAATTTTTGCACTCATTTTTAAAAAGCCTTACAAGCTGCATTTCATCTTGTTGAGTTTACATCAGAGTGATTCAATTAAGAAATCATATGGAGTATATAGTTTGTAAGTGCTCTGAGTGCATATCAATTTTTTCACAATCTAAGCAGTTGTTTAGTGACATTCTGTTTCTACATAAAGACAATTTTACTGTTTCTGTCACTGAGAGCATGATATGTAGTTGACATTATTCATTAATTTCTCAGTATTAGAAAGACTAAGAGGTTTGCAAATGAAAGAAAGATGCAAATTGCTATGTTGTAAGGTTGCCACCAAATCTGTAAATTTTCCATTTTATTCATGACTATAGTCTTTGAGAATCCATATAAAGATTCATTTGAAATGCTAAATTGTAGCACCTGACAAAAGAACTCCAATAATTTTGGGTATTGCTTGAGACATTTTTGTACAGAAGAATGATCATACATAATGTATACCATTATTTTTAGCTTTTTAATGAGCAGTTTTACAAAGAAGTGAGAAATTCCAATGGAAGTTTGAAGCCCAGACTCTGTAAAGAATAGTGCTATGACCTATGAATGTCATAGCATATAGATCTTTCTCTCAGTAGATTGCTGAGTTCCTTATCATTAGCAATGAATGATGGTTGTTCTCGTTTTCTTTCATTTGTTTGTTCATTGGCTTGCTATTCCCACTGTAAAACAAACAAACGGGAAATAGTTGTCTGATGAGATACTTTCCTTACTCCTTTCTTTAAGCTTCTTTGTAACTAAGTGCCAAAATCCTTGCTTATGTTTTATAGCTGAGCAACATCTCAGAGTTTGCATTTAGTATCTAATCTGTCAACCTTTTGTCTAGCTTTTCCTTGTACCCAAGATCCTCTTCCCATGATCTCAAAGTTTCTGCCTGCTTTAGTAGAAGCTCATTTTTCAACCACTCATCTGTTGTCATTTGCCTATGATTCTGAAAAAAAAAAACAACAAAAAACCCAGAACAAAACAAACAAAAAAAAACCCAACCCACCACCACCAACTGTTGCCATTTCTTTTTGCCTCTGATTGGTACATTCTACCATACTTCTTTCTGAAAATGTTTAGAACTTTTAGCCCAAATTTTATCCTAAACTGCTCCAGTTTTCTTCATGACTGATTCCAGTGAGGAATATGTCTGTGTTAATTTTGAAGTAGTTTGTTTTTCGGGGTAAACTTATCCCTTCTAGTTAAACTAGTTTTGTTGTCAAGGAAAGAGTTTCAAATATGTTCAAGACGTTTGTTTGGAATGTGTTTTTGATGGTATGAAAGGCAAAAGTGTGGAAACATGATAAGCAGTAAGAATTTGACTTGCAAATAAAACACAAAACAAATAATAGCCCCCAGTTTGTCTGATAGTAGTTCCTTCACACTGGACTAATTAAGCAGCAGAAGAATAGTAAAGTTTCATTTCTCTCAGCTGTACTTGCATAATGAAGAAAAATGTTTAATTCCTAGTTGTACTGGAAAAAAAGGATGTCTTGCTCAAAGGCATCCGGTAATCAGAAGCAGAGCTGAGCATGGAGTACTCCAGTGTACTGATAGATGAAGGCAAGCTTCAGGGAGAAAAGATATGTCAGCTGTCATCTTGTGGGCCATGGCATCCAGATCAGGTCTGGCACATGGGAGTGGTAAGAATGTTGCTGTTGACCCCCAACAAGTAGAACTAATCTGGTCTCGTCTGCCCAGGTGATTGCTAGCTAGCTTGTGTGGAGGCACATCAGTGTGGCCACAATTTGAATTTCCACTTTTGGAGAAGAGGGCATCAAATGGTTAGTTTAATGGTGTGTAAGAGAGAAGACTTTCCTCAACTCCTCTATGACTGATGTGGTAGTGTATCTATGATTGCTTTTTCAGTGGCTGTCCTTATTTACTGGAAAATGGGCAAGACTGCACTGAATGCTTTGCCTCTGTTCTTTTCTTCTTTCTGCTATTATAGGGGATATAACAGAAATATGCTGTCAGCACCTAGAGTATGCTTTCCGTATCTTCTAGTTTCTATATGCTACATCTGCCTCAAATCAGCTGTATGCTGTTATTATAAAAGGAGATTTGACCTAAGGGAGAATGTTTGATACAAAATGCAAAATGTACTGTTTGTAATAAAAAAGCTTCAATTGTAAGAGCTTTTTGTGTTCCCAAGTGTGCAAAGGTAGGCCAAAGAAATAGAGTAGATTCATTCCTGGTAAAAGGCTAGAAAAACCCTGATTTCACTGTACAGTA